CTTCTTCAAGGGAGGTTCTTTTGGTCTGGCATATAAAGGGGTATGAAAAGTTAAAACTTAGCAATAAAGCCGCTTATATTTGGCAAATCTGCGATTTGCATATATTGTAATACTCCTGCATTCATTTAAAACAATGAACAGACACAAGGGTCGTGGCCAATGGAAAAGGTTACTCAAAGAAAATCAAACTGTCCTGATCCACACAGCAAACTGATGTGTGTCCCTCTAAATCTTAGGTGAAACTAGAGCCCACAAATGAGCCGGAGGAGAACTGCCAGAGCATGTTCTCTCCATTAATGGACCGGTGGCTCCATTTGTGATTAACAAGGTGAACGTGGCTCTGTTGTTTGCTGCTGCAGTCCTGTACCTCTCTGCAGTGGGTGGAGCCATAGAGATCCTGGGAATCTTTGTGCTGAAGGAGCCACTTAACTGGACTGCAACTCAGGTGACGTTTTGCCCTGCCTGTATGCACGTCAGTTTTCTGTTTTTATATTTGCCATTTTTAGGAATGGATGATGAAATAGAGGGTTGGCTGAATCAAAATCGGTACAATAAAAAACAACAACAACCCTTAACTTCTTTCACTCTCTCCCCCACCCCCCTTTTCCCTCCAGGTGGGTTATGGGAACGCAGCAGGCTGCATGATTTTCATCACCAGTTACCTGGGTGTCATGGTGTTCCGTCGCTGCGTCAGTGACGTTATGCTCATCCTGATTGGCATGATATCGTTCGCCTCTGGAATTTTCTTCATGTCCTTTGTCACGTCAACCTACACATTCTACCTTGGTAAGACCAAGCATCTTAGAACAAGGAACCGTTTGTGATGAATCATGACTCAAGACAATTCAAGTCCACTCTACAAAATGTAAAATACATCTCAACAGACTAAGGAATCTGGAACCAGTATTTCTGCTTGATAAATCACTCTTTATCAATCCATCTTATAAATCTGTTATAGGTTCATCATTTTTTGTTTTAAGCATATTCTGTTTTGTTACATAATAACAGCGGCAAACAATTCTGTCCCACAGAAATGTTGGACGAAATGTTCCGTATGTGTTTATGTGACTTACTAATTCCACAAGCTGATCCATCAGTATTACATCCGGTTTAGTTCCCACATGATTTGTAAATACGCCTTTATTTCACCTTCATTATTTTCATTTTGCCAAACGCAGAGAAAACAAGGAGCAGAAGTTGCAATGAGGAAATGATTCAGTGTGGCCTGCGGTCTGATCTAACAGGATTGTGTCTGCTGGTTAAACAAGAAATGACTGCGCTGGCTCATGAGCACATCCTATAAAAATGTATGAACCAATATGTGGAAGTGAATAGAAGCTTATTTCTCATTTAATAACAAGAACTAGATCATTGTGTTGTGTTTTAGCAACGCAGCTTGCTGAGAGAGAGAGATAGACATGCAGCCAGTGGAGGTGTCTGTGCACATGCTATCTATCCAGTTCTTCTTCTGCCTCAAACAATAGTCACCACTATTTCAAGAATGTTTGTCTTTGTTAAAGTACAATCAGTATCAGTTAATCCATGTTCATTTCCCGGCAGCTCGCTCTCTCAACCTGTTTGCTCTCATCCCGCTGCCAACTATCCGCTCTCTGCTGTCACTGCAGGTTCCGGCATCTTCATGTGGTGAGTAAGATACTGATCTGTTTGTATGTGTATGTGTAAAAGTTTGACAACCCAAATACACAGCAGGATTTGTTACTAGTTTTGACACATGAATCTAAGAAATGTAAGAAATATGGAGCAGCCTACATGGCACACCAACCAATAAACATGCTTATTCATTTTCAGTTTGACATTATGAAAGTGTAATCTCAGGGATTCCAGTCAAAAAGACAACAACTTAAACGGGGGGTGAGTGCTAGCCCCGTTTAAGGCACCTCACCCTGACTCTGCTTCGCCCGCCCTTTTTTCCCCCGAGACCTCTCTACAGACTTGTCTCTGTAGTTCTGCATTTTCTCTCAAGCTGTACTTGCATTTTCATGTGTTATGTTGGCACCAGTAATAGTTGCATTATGGTTGTGGGGGCCAGTACCGTTAACACTGCCTGGTAGATAGCAGTACAACACAGTACAACAGAGCCTTGGGTCTGTACTTTAGGTGGCAATGCTGTTTGTGCTGTGATGGCCATGTGGTACGTAAGATATAAAAGGTCTGCGTGGGGGTGTGGTGGGCGGTGAGAGCTAGCATGGAGGGTTAACCGTCCAGCCTTCCTGTGGTATTGTCGGACTAATTGGGCAAAACACTGTTACCACTTGACAACCCTGGTGATGTTCTGGCTCTTGCTGCACATAAGTCTACACGGCTGAGTTTTGGGGCCATGTGGTAGGGTATGTAGTGTCTGCATTGTCAGTAGCTGGTCGCTTGCATAAACAGTGTCTGTTGAAGCTGGCAATGCTGGGTGGGTTGTTGGTGTTGGGATGAGGGGTTTCTTCACTGAGCGCCTAACCTTTTATTAGTGCACAAGCACCTTGTGTTTATGTCAAAATGAAAGAGACCTTTTCCTTGGCAGGAAGAAGTTACACAAAAACACACACACACACAGCATGGCTACAAATTATCCACTGACAAAAACCTTTGCAAATATAATCACAACTACCGACACCACGTTCTAGGTGGTACACGGGGTAAGTGAAAAAAGTACAGTGTTTTAGATTCTGGCAAAACCATAGTTTCAAGCTTCTGTGAGGACTTTTTAACTGGTTAAGAAAAAAGGCTAAAATCAATACTGAAAGTTCTTTATGATCTACAACAACAAACAAGACCATCAGTGAAGAGGTTAACTTTTACTATATAGTTTTTTTTTACATCTGAAATCTCTGCCGCAGGGTAGATGTCAGACCAAGTGATCGACTGTATGCTGCTGAAACAGGCTTTGTTTACATTTTCCACAGCAAAGATTCTCCAGTGACATTTGGCTGTAGAGTGACTGTTCAACTGTGTGCTCTAAAAAAAAATCTTTAACCCCTGACTTCAATATTGTATATACTGAAATTTCTTCTTTTTTTTTTTTGTATAAGAATAATTATAATATTGGTGATCATCAGAGAGAACTTTAGGAGTGTGTCAGAAAACAGGAGGAAGTTGTGGATAAGTGATGACATCATGACCTTTCCTGTAAGTAAAATTGCAGTCTAAAGGTTGTGCAAAGGTGGGGAAAACCCCTTACTGATCCCCTCAACCATCTGCTAACAGTATGTGATGGTTAGTGCATTTGAGGATTTACTGCAAATATGATTTTACCCAGTGAATTTTATTTTGGTTGAAAATCTGACAGAAACACATTTTCTGATATTGTCCAACTGGGATCCATTGCCTGAAAAATATTCATTTTATTAGTGTTCAGCTAATGTCATGTTTTCCTGCCTTGTACAGTATATGGTGAACAATGGTTTAAAATAAAATGGTTTTGAAATATGAAGAATGATTGTGCAACTGCTTGGTGGAGGGGAAAGGCCTCTTAGGCTCGTCTCTCTTGAATCAGCAGATTGTCTTCAGAAAATCCTAGAGAACATGTTAAATATTCTGAAAACACTTCATTTCAATAAAGCGATGAACTGTAAAATGTTGGATTGGGTTAAAGCAAATTATTTAGATTTCAAAATGAGAAGCTTTAGGCATCTTAGTTTGCTAGTAAGCTAAAATAAAGTGTAGTTTTAGCTTTATTTTTGTGTGTGTATACCTTTAAGACAGTTAAGCACACGAAGAGGAGCGGTGTAAACTGGAAACCTGCTGCCATGACGTATCAAAGCTTATTCTGCCAATGGTTACAGTTTCTCTATCGTTCTTGCACACACACACACACACACACACACACACACACACACACAGTGTCAGGGTTTAAAAGAGTCAGCGCATTGTAATACAAACTCTCTTCTCTCCACATCTCCACACAACCTTACACATACAAGTAAATGAAAAATATAGATCTGAGGGAAGATAAACAAGAGAATCTAAAAGAAAATTATTTAACATTTCAATAACTTTGGTACAGAGTGTGTACTCCTATTCGTACAAACTGAACAAATAAGATTTGATTTGGTCCTATCTGTAAGCCCATTGGTTCCCAACTGGATGAACCTCAGGACCCACCACCATCTCCATTCAAAAAATCATGACCCAAGTTTCCAATTTTGTTTTTACCAATCCGATTTATTTAATGATGAATTGTGTGGTCTGGAGCTCGTGTGGAGATATCATGTGACAGAATAAAAAAACTGAAAAAAAAAAATCACGTTTGAAAAGCGCTTCATAGACTTTTTGACACCAGTTTTTGTCCTGGCCCACATTTACAACCAACTGAAAGTGGCTCTGCATTCAACTTTTTGTCTGTGCTTCCCCCTCCTGAACCTTATTTACTGACATATTGACATATCTGTTCTTCTTCCCATCAGGCACCACTCTTACCTTTCTGCAGCTGGCTCTGAAGTTTCCTGGTCTGGCATACATCCCTGCCTTCACAAAGATCTATCAGGGAACCCTGAACTGGTTCCCCGGCTTTGTCTTTACACTGGCAAGCATCTTAGCATTCCTGGCAATGATACCCATCAGGTACAGTGTGGCCCATATTATACAATGCCTATAGCAGTGATAACAATTGTGCTACCCTACAGAAGGGATCAGTGTTTGTTAATAGTTTTTACCTGGGTTTTTTTCCCCAAATTAAATTGTTGTTAGCCTAGCTTAGCATTAAGAGATTTAATTTTTTTTAAACAAATGAATTACAGTAGTCAAATCAGCCCCCCCCCCCCTAAAAGTTGTATAATTACAACACCTTTTTAATCTGGATAACAGTGTTGTTTTCCAAATCAAATTGCATTTGTGTCTTGTTTGTCCCTGTTTTTCTGTTCGCTTTCTATATCAAATACATTTTTTATCATTTTTCAGTCAATTCTGATATTCTTAAAAAAATACAGTTATTCTTATCAAGATCTTTCTTAGAGGATATTATTGAATTTATGCAACAACAAAAAAATGTCTACGTCCATTGCTCATATGAGGTACAAAGCTTAAATGAGACAACTAACTTCGCCCTACTTCTCCTTTCCCTCCAGTATCTTTGGCTGTAGATCACCTCTGAGGCGACAGTATGACAGGATACAGGAAGCGTGATTTATTGACATCAGCAGCGACTGTCAGCTTGTGTTGGTACGAGGCAGACCGGGACTGAGACTTGAATTGGGCAAAAGAAGGATTGTGCCTATAAAGTAATTTCCTATCAGGTTCAAACTAAAGACAGTTGAGGAAAGTCAAAGTTTGAATCCTGCAAGAATGTTGCTGTTACAGGAGAAACTGTTTATGCTTGTTATGACTAACAGACATAACATGATAGGTTTAAATGGGATCTATGCAGATTGACCAGACGTTTTGAATTGTCAAACTTTGAGAGCAACCATTGACATTTGTATAAAATGTGTCCTCATCAACACACTGAAGGTGTTTTTAAATGGAGATTTTGTTATAGACACATAAAGGCCATAAGCACCACTTAAAGACACACAATCCACTAATACATTAAACGTAGTTTTGTCTTTTGGATCAGCTCAGAATGGATCACATTCAACTTTCAGACATTATCTCACAGATTTGAACCAATGTGACTGGAACCTTGTCGGGTGGTGACAGATTTCAGTCATTATGTCTTGCATATCAGGACCGGAACGATACATTGAAAGTTTCTGGTGAATGCATTAATAAGAATTTTTCATTTTTCACAATATTTGTGGGGGGGATAAGGATTCACAAATCAGTCATCTTAAAAAAGGAACAACAAAACATTCTGTTGAATTTACAACTTCAATTTTGGGATCATTTTGTAGGTTGTCATATGAAAACTGATGCCGTTAAAAATATAAATTATTTCTAAATACATTCAAATTATTATAGATGCACTTTATTGTATATTACACTTCAAGAGTTAGATGTTTACTGCTGAACCTGCAGGTCAGGATAGGCTGGCAGAGTAAAAGAGTTCAAAAAGATGGTGTTGAAAGGTTTTTCTATCATTATTGTTCCTGTTTGGATTTTTTTTTGACTTCCTTTTCTTGTGATTTTTTTAATGTCCTTATGTGCTTTCTTACTTCTGCATTCGACACCACAGTGGCTAAAAAGTACAGAGTTCATTTCCCTGTGTTTGTATTTTGTGATGTAATAGCTTAATGATGAAGTCATTTTAATTAATTTTCTATTGATGTAGGCAAGAAAAGGCAATATGTCATTACGGGTGTGAATACTTCATGAATGCATTTGAATTCACTCGGTCAGTATGACTTTTTTATTGTGTGTTTTGTAAGTTGATGTTGCATTTGTTGTAAAACACTTTCAACTACATTTTTAAATTTTCATATACGGTACAACAAATGAAGACTTGTTTTTTTATGTTGTTTGTTCTAATAACATCTGGTTTATTTAAAGCTAGCATGATTTTGAAAGTAGTAATTCCCTCTGTGCTCCCTCAAAAGCCCCGCCCCTCACTTACATGCACAAGTGCCACTGGTCCAGGAACGGACCTCAGCTCATGCTTTGAGCGTGGGCTCGTGCATGTAAGGGGTCGAGAACGAGCAGGGAGACAGGGAGGCGTGATTGATTCATCAGATTGGTACCTCGTGGTAGACACTGGTTGAAGTTTTTACATGCTTACAACTGCTACAGATTGCCGATTTTCTTCATTCCTTTTTTAGAGCACAAGAATTATCAATTTCTGTCAGGACCCAAAGAAAATTTCAACCAAAATCTTAAAAAGTGTATCTGGAGAAAATTACCAACCCTGCATTCAAGACAAACTGGAATATGTTTGGTGGAATTTTCTTAAATGCTGCACATTAAAGATTTAAAGTTTACATTTTTTAATTCTTTATATCAAGCGTCTCATTTTCAGAGACATCTCACAATAACTTCCTGGTAGACAATGTTAATATACATAATTTAAGCAAATAAATACTTTAAGCTATAGATTCAATCTGAAAATTGTACATAAGAAACTAATGAGACTTGAGCAGACACGTGTGAAATGCATTCGTTCTTTTATTATTGGTCCAATATATCCAAAAAGTCTTTTGAGGTAAAGATAAATTGCATCAAAACAACATCAATATACAAGCTTATATATAATTACAACAAGATGTTATTAACATCCAAATGTACAATAAAAACTCTGAACGTAAACAGTACACACTGGGAGGGAACCGAAATAACGCCTGAAGCTGGATTCACACGTTCATTAGATGGCTGACCTTTAACCTTTTATACAGGGTTTGATTGATAAAAGTTTTTCCTGTTCTGTAAATCAGATTTTCTCTTCATGTGTGAATCTGTGTGAAGACAACAGTAGGAAAAAAACATGGACATTTGGCTTTGAAACATTTGATTTGAACATTTAATAAAAAACAAACATTATGCCATGCTCTCCCATCGTATCAGCCACTGTCTCTGTTTGCAGATGATGCCTTTCTTTACCTTACAGAAACAACTTTCCAAACTGGGACAGAGACTGTGTCCCGACCAACCTAACATCACAGTTTTTTTAGTCGATATTGGCCCTTAAAGAAAGACATTTAGATTTTATTATTAGCATTACATTACATTTCTTCCATGGATTTTAGTGCAAAAATAAATCAGCAGGCACACAGCATCGAACGGGTTTGACAATAGCTGTGAGTATAAATTATCTGGAACTATTGCTGGGGCTCCAATGAGAATCTAAATAAAATGGTTCATTTCTCATTTTTTTGGTAACTAATGGTTTACATTATTATAACAAAGCTTTCAAAATGTGTTATCGTATCTTTCACACATTTCATTAAACCCACAATAATCTTCTGTTCTTTTATACAAAAATAGACTCAGCTGTGCCGTATAATTCAGCTGTGCAATAGAGTATATTGAATATACAGTATGTTGCCATTAGAGCAAAAGAAAATAATTCAGCAAGTCGAAATAATCCCAAAACTTGTGCATGATCAGATCAGGTCACTTCATCAGGTCTGTGCAGTTTTTTTTATTCACACCAGATAGCAGGGTAGTCTGTGGATGCACTGATGCCTCTTTTTCTAAAGTCACAGCCATGATTCAGTGTTCAACAGACAACAAGTACTGCTCTGAACCAAGAAATAAAACATGCCTACATTTAAACTTCATCATGTTAGACTGTTATCGAGTGAATGTGTTCATGTTGTCTTCACTTGCTTACAAAAAAAAGTGCTCCAAAGTAGGTACCTTCTTTTTTTGCTCTATGGCGATGCGTTGCTTTAATTAAATCAATGCTGAACAGCAGTGACTCAGTTTGAAGTTTTGTTAAACTATATTGAAATATCTTTACTTTTCGTGGATATTTATACATATGAATATATATAAACAAGTTCCTTAAAAGTATGACTTTAGAAATAAAAAGTGAAATAAACAGATTACTCAGAAGCTCAGTTTTTGAACACCTCTGTCTCTTCATGGTGAGTTTTAAAACTACAGTAATTCAGCATCAGTGCATCCGTACTGTCTGCTACAGCTGCCTTAAAAGCTACACAGAAAGCTTTTCTCCATTTACTAGATTTTTAAAATTGTCTAAAAAAAAAAAAGTCTTAATTCTTCACCTTGTTGACATCTGGAAATAAGAAGAAACATAGCTGCTTTTGCTTTTCGATCGTGGGTATAAAATGTTGGACAAATAAAAAGAGAACTGTCAAACCGAATGAAAAACCGGTCCAGAGGCAGCTACCATCACTGCTGCCTTACAGCGCCTGCCTGAAGCTACACTGAGAGCAGGCTGGGACATGAGCAAAATAAAAAAAAAACACAGGGTTAGGGAAAGTCAAATACAATCTGACAAATACAAAAAAACAACTAAAACACAGCAGTTCTGTTTACATTGAAGCCTCTGGTTACATAAACCTAAAAAAAAAAAAAAAAAAGTAATATCAGCACCTTATTTCTGAAAATTCTGTTCAGAGAAGAAATCATGGTTTTAATCAAACAAAATATTATTACACTTGTTAATGAATACATTGTTCATGTTTATGAGGCTACACCACTGTGGGATCTGCACCACAGATGACAAGGGAAAATAACCATCTTTGCCAATTGGAAATTGGAAGAAACAACAGCGGTTCTTCCAGACCATTCTGGTGTTCACTGGTGAAGTTTTGGCTACTTTACGCTAAGTGTAACGAGCTCGAAGTATTGCTGAGGATGGAGAAGAGTTGATTTCTGCTTTAAGGCCACATCAGCAACATTTTAACCTGCCCGTCCCCAAAAAAGAGGAAACATGACACAAAAGCACTTAGTTCATGAACTGTTACATTGACTCGCGTTTTGGAACCATTTGTTTCTTCACCTCCATCAAAATTTCCCATAAGTCACAGCTGTGCTGACCCTGCCAAATCTTCAGTTACAGTTTTCTATCAGAGCTGAACTCTGAAACTGTTATCATCGTGCTGAGTCATCTTGACTCCCTTGGTGTTTTCATGACATAGCAAAAAGGTCTCAGAAGCTTCAGAGCTCTTTAATCCTCTACACAGTATGTTTAAAATTAACTTCAAAACGTATTCCCTGGACGTTTAACTGTAGGCTCCAAACCAGTGGTTCTCAACTGGTGGGTCGGGACCCAAAAGTGGGTCGTGGAGTCGTTTTCAGTGGGTCGAGAAAGTGTGCCTGGAAAAAAAAAGTTCTTGAAAGTTTCAAAAGCCTAAACATCACTTTTAAAACCATTTTACTGTTTTGTTTCTTCTCTTTCCTCTGTAAAATGTTTTGTACTGTCTGAGGTCCAAACTGCACCAGTTTTCATAAAACAAATCTCATTGGTTAAAAAGAAAATCAAAATTTTGGTCGCAATTTCATATTAAAAGGAGTTGGTGGTGGGTCCTGAGGCTAGACCAGTTGAGAACCACTGCTCTAAAGTCTGCACTCTCCTCTAAAGCTTATTTCAGGTAATAGACAGCTTCGCTAAGACCAGTCGTTACTGGTGGGCGATACTTTCAAATGTCCCAATGCAGAATTTACTCCTTCAGATTTGTCATAAAAATAAATGTAATTGAGGCCAATCCCTGCAAAAAACATGGCATCTGATTTTAAAAAGTGAGTTTAAAACATTACACACTCTTTAAACAAATGAAAACAGACTCTCACAGAGTCAATATTTACCCTCCTCTGTGTGCTTTTCATTGGGTAAATCTTCTCCGTCTGTGCCCCAGAATTCCTAACTGAGTCAAAGCCTTCGAGTGAAGAACAGAGACAAATAACCTACTGTAGGTATAAATGGCCATGATTAAAAAAAATAAACACACACACACACGCACACACACAAAGATGTGATATGAAGAGACACCAGCAAGAGTAGCACACACCGTTTAGCCGACAGAAAGAAAGCTATAAGCAGCTTAACCACCAGGTGGTGCTACAGGACACAAATGTATGACCAAATCTGCTGCTCCTGCTTCCTGGAGTAAAACCCAAATTCACATCCCTAATAAAGCTCTGCATTCATTTTAGATTTAAAGAGTAATTTGTTTCACGTCTATTTATCCATTCTGATGAAGATCCAAAATACATCCTAAAGTTTCCCTTTCAAAGAACTAACTAGACACGTTCGCAGTTGTCTTTCGCTACTCCTCCTGCTGTTAGTCGTTCCATGTTTTGCTTCTGGGCGAAAAAATGAGGCGGTGTCAGAAGCAACGATGCCACAGACAGTTTCGAGTGTCTCATGTTAAATGTTATTATAAAAAAAGTATAAACTCTATGAAGTTTTGGAAATCAGCAATGGATAGCGTAAAACGTTATG